TGCACCCTGAAGAGGAGGTACAGGGTGTCATAGATCTGCCACAGGGCTGATGAGCAAAATGCTGTCAAGATGGTTTCCCCTCCCCAATAAGGGGCAAACAAACCAGTTCACCTAAGAAAGTCCACAAATCCACGGCCAATGAAAAGAGCTCACCTAACCCAGAGTTAAAATGTCCATAAAAGCCCCAGCCTTCGCCTGAGCAGGGAGCCACTGGTTTCTGAACTCCACTGCACTGCTTTAGCACTGGTGGCTCATGTCTGTAATCCTAGCTACTCAGGAGGCAGAGATCAGGAAGAATGAAGTTCGAAATCAGCCCAGGCACATAGTTCTTGAGACCCGATCTTGAAAAAAAAAGGGCTGATGGAGTGGCTCAAGGTGAAGGCCCTGAGTTCAAACCCCAGTACTGAAAAAAAAAAAAGTTTGCCCTTATCTCCCCAACAGTTTGCCTCTGACACTCTCATTCTGAGTGACAGTTCATGTTCTTCCTGTGGCCTGTGTAGTTCACTCATCCACCAAATACGCATTGCATGTCTGCTATGTGTCAGGCACTTACTCTAGATGTTGAGGCCGTCGCAACCAGTAAAAATGAAAAGTTCCTACTCCCAGGTTCCCATCTTTCCAGAGAAAAGAGTTCTAATTCTTTTCAGCCTATCTTCCTTACTTAGCCTTTCCCATGTTCATTGTGGTTGTTTTGAGATAGGGTCTCATTGAGGCAGGAGAGATTACGGAAAATGAGTGTGGGAGTCAAAAGCCAGAAGTGAAGAAAAACACTTGATTAGTGATTAATGGAGCATGCACTCTTTCTCTTTGGTCTCGGGCTCTCTCACTGAGTTGCAGCATACAGGGAAAAAGAAAAAAAAAAAAAAGCAGCTCTCTCCTTATGACCTTATCCACTTGCCCAGAGGACAACGTGCTCTGGGAACTGAGCAAGAATATCTTAAAGACACTTATCCTGGAAAAAAAAAAAAAAAGATCACAGAATAGTTTGCAAAGGAGAAAAAAAGATCCCTGGTCTCTACCTCAAGATGTGTCCTAAAATTCTTTTTTGTGACATCATGAACCGAAGTTTAAGACCTCTCCCTCTGGGGACCTCCTTAGCCCACCTTGTCCCCAGTGACATCGCTGTGTAGCCCAAGCTGCTCTCGACTCGTGATCCTTCTGCTTCAACCTCTCCTGCACGCTGGGATTCCAGGTGGGCTCACCACACCCATCCTCTTCTCAGTTTTATCTGCTTTCTCCAGGCCTCTCAAATTCTGCTCTTTGTCAAGGAATGAAAAGCAGGGAGGGTTCCCAGTGGCTCGGAAATACTCTGCCACTGGTTTATTTGAGACTCTCAACTGGTATACTCTGCTTTTTCAATGAAGAGGAATCCTTGGGAAGATGCTGGAATGAGAGGACAAGAATCGTAGGTAGCATTCTATTTTTAAAGAAAATAAATTGTTGTTAAAGAGGACAGGCACCTAGACATGTCAGCGATGCTTGTCACTGCAATGAACTCTGCTAAGGAACTCTTTTCCCTTTCCCAATTTAAGGACTGTCTATGATCAAACAATTGATTCCCAAAGCACAACTCCAAATAGGAGTTCAAAGCTTCCCCAGGAATACAGGAATGCCTTCTGTACAAAACTAAATTCCAGGAGGTATTTTGTTGGTGTTTCTTGGCTTACCAAGTTTTTGTGTTTCAATATGCACAATATTCAGGAAAACATTTTCAAAGTAATTTTATTTTATTTCTGATATAAAAAGACAGGCTCATTGCAGTTCTGCAGGGTGAGTCTACTCTGCTGCAGGGTGAGTACAGCAGCAGAACTACAGTCAATAATATTGTGTTATCTGCCAGAAATTTGCTAAGAGAGCAGATTTCGGGTGGTATTATCACAACCACATACAAGATAACTCTGAGATGATGGATGTGTTAATTGGCTTGACTTTAGTAATCATTTTACTGTGTATATGAATATAAAAATCATGTATACCTTACATAAGTACAATTAAAATTAACTAAAACAATATAGAAAGAAAACGAAAAATCAAGTAGAAATATCCATTGTTAAAATTTTGCTAACCCTCCTTTTTAGTGCATATTTATGTGGACCAAAATTGCATAGTGTAATGCCATCCTGCCCAGGAACTCTTTTGCTCACCTAGCTAGGCAGCCTAAACGCTTTCCCACAGCAGGGGCAGCTATACACCGTCATGCTTAGTGACCACGTGACATTTCTGCACATGGATATAGCCTCATTTGTTTTACCAGGTGCCTCTTTTTTGGGGATCTGTTCACCTGTCCACTTATCTCTGTAAGCCATCTTAGAAAGGGAATTACTGCTAAGTGTGTTTTCTTATATTTGTTTCCAGAACCTTCCTTGATGGTCTCACTTTTTTCCCATGGTTAAAGCTGAACAATGGCTTAATATCATTTCATCTACCAAGGCTGAAGACTGTAAGTATTAAGAAGGTGAATGTGTGATGAGGGAATTGAGACACTCCTGTGCTTCAAGGTCCAGTAGCTCTGGCCTCGCACAGACTAGGACAAGTATGAGGCACACGAACGTGATAGTGGTCCCAGTTAGTATCTTTTACTTGAAAGCATGATTGGATCCATCAATAGAAATATTTGACCCAGTTTATCACACTGGCCCAAATCATTAAGAAAAAATATTTTCACGGCATGTGATTGCATATCCATTTTTATTTTAACAGAAAATGTTCCCATCCCATTTTATTAAAAAAAAATCCATGGATTATATAATTTAAAAAGACTGATTCATCAGAATGTTGTCATTGATCTAGTTTAAAGTTTTCTCAGAAGCCTGTCATGTTCTTCTTACAAATTCACTGAAGTTAATTCAGCCAGATGATGATGAAAGCTTTTCTTAAATCTCACTTCTCTATATCTCTATCTATTCTTAGCTTGATCCTATCACTTTTAAATGTCACTGTATGTAGCCTGGGATGGTGAGGCAAGCCTGTAATCCCAGCACTTGGGAGGCTGAGGCAAGAGGATTGTGATTTTGAGGTCAGCCTTTGCTACATAGTGAGATATCACCTCAAAAAAAAAAAATTAGTGCTCACATCTGTTCTTCTTAGGTCTTGTCAGTCAGTGGTACCTTTCTCACCACTTTAAAATTTTATAATGAGGACTGGAGCATGGCTCCACCTACCTAGCAAGCACAAGGCCCTGAGTTTAATCCTCAGTACCACCAAATAAAATGACAATGAAATTCCTTCAAATGTGCTCATGTCAGTATACATACATATATCCCTGAAATTTATATCTTATATTGATTTTTTTTTTGGTGGGGGACAGGGGTTTGAACTCAGGGCTTCTTGATTGCAAAGCAGGTAATCTACTGCTTGAGCCACACCTCCAGTCCATTTTTCTCTGGTTATTTTGGAGATAGGGAGATGGGGTTTCACAAACTATTTTTCCAAGCTGGCCTCAAACTACTATCCTCCTGATTTCAGCCTTCCAAGCAGCTAGGATTATAGGCATGAACCACCAACACCTGGCCTTATATTGGATTTTTTATTTTTTTTTTTAGTTTTTGCGGTACTGGGGTTTTACTCAGGACCTACACCCTGAGCCACTCCACCAGTCCTTTTTTGTGAAGGGCTTTTTCAAGATAGGGTCTTTCGGAACTATTTGCACGGGCTGGCTTCAAACTGCGATCCTCCTGATCTCTGCCTCCTGAGTAGCTAGGATTACAGACATGAGCCACCAGCACCGGGTCCTTATATTGGATTTTTTTAAAGTTTAAAGAAAAAGGGACTGATTAACTTTGCCTTTTTCTAAACCTTAAAAAGAAGCAAACAAAATTACATCCTTCTTCTCCAATGTTTGGACGATCAGAGGTTCCTGTCAATTAGTCATCTTTTCTTCATAACTATCAAAAAGAAATAATCAGAAAAGAAATCACTACTGGTTATGATAAAACCATTTTATCCATTCTATCTGGAACATATACTGTTAATGAGTTAAAAACTAACAGTATTTTGCTTGCAATTATTTTGAACTCGGCTGCTGACTTTTTTTTTGCTAAGATGGATTTATTCACTGAGTCATTTGGTGGCTTTAGCTAGTTTTTCATGCTTTTCTTGCTTTGATACTTGAGGGGTGGGGACAGATGAGCTGCAAGAGAAATGACTGTGACTAATGGACGTAAAAGCCTGCCTTTCCCAAGGGCTGAGCTCTGGGAGGGGAGTGAGTTCACAGTACGGCCAGGACTCATCTGTGGTTTCCAGCCAGGACTTCATCTCCCTTGCAGGAACGTGGGTTGGTGTGTGGTTCACCTGAAGTACCTGTCTCCCTGTGAAAGGACTCACCCTGAAGCTCCGGGCTGATGATAGGACACCTTGCCCATTTTGTAACTTCTGGACATTTAAGGCAAGGGTGTCAGGATAATTTAAAATTTGGTAGTGTGAAAAGGGATTTTCAGAGTGAATTGGACCCAGGTTTGTTGACGCTATGACTTCTGCTCTCTGGGGCCCATCTAAGAAGGGCCACGCTTGGGGCTGTGGCAGGTCTGTGAAGAGGAGCCTACTATCAAGAACTTGGCCTTCACTAGGAGGCCCTTTGCTATACTGTCCTCCCTCCATGCTGTCCACATTGCTCCTGAGAAAGCTGGTTCTCACCTCCTTTTCACTTCTCTCTGTTGCTATGTTCTGAGACGTAGGTTTCATTTGTGGCCTAGGAAGGAAAGGCTCAATTGCAAGGCAGTCATTATTATAGTCAACCCCCCAGGGAAGAGGCTGTATTCACTTTGACATTCTCTCCTGCCCCCCTCCTGGGCTATAGTCATCCTATGAATTTTGTTTTCTGCTACATCCCACCCATGGGTACCCATTCTACCTTCTCCCTTCAAATGCTAATCTGAGGTAAAATTTTAGATAGGGGAAACCAGGGACAAGAGTGTCACCAGGCATCCAGGTAGTAAGCAGGAACCTGAGCATCCAATTTGGACTGCTCTGACTGGTCTGACTCCCTGTTGGAGAGCTTGGACCTGAAACCTGCTCGTTCTAAAAACCCGTAATCTTCTCTCTGCTCCTAGCTGTGCTTTCAGGGAAAGCTGAGGCTTTGCAGCCAGCACTCACCAGGGAGATGGTGGAGTTGGGAGATTGGGTGTGACAGAAGTGTTTGCGCAAGGCCTCTTGTACCTGCAGGAGAGGTAAGGCCCTAGTTATGTCAGCCATGTCCCAGCCTTCAGATGGACAGCCAGGGAGGAGGTTGCTGGGCAGACTCACCTTCTTGTCTGCAAGGCATCCAAACACGAAGATGAAGACACCCTGAGAAGAAGGACATGGCAATAAGCAGGTCAACCAGAAGGGGACCAATCCAAGTCAACCTCCTCCCTCTCTTCTTCCTCCAGCTTCAGACCCTTAGTCTAATGGACATCCTGAAATTTCCTGTCTCAATTTTCTGCACATTAGCACCACTCAGGTGCATAATCCATTTTAGGGGCTATTCTTATTGTTACAAAAAAGAACATCAAAAGATTGGAGTCCTGACCTTTCCTAACTTCTTGAACAAAATCAGCTACTATTTTACTGATAAGAAAACCAAAGCTTATAGAGGTTATGTAATTTGTCCAAAGTTATCCAGCTAGGTGGTGGAGAAACTGGAATCTACACCTGAGCCATCTAAAATCCCTGAATCTATGGTCCTGCTCTGCCACTCTGCCTCCTTGAGAAGTGATTGGCAGTGACTTCCATGGTCTAAAAGGTCAGCCAGCACAGCCACCCCCTTACCACCTACCTGGAGGGTGTTGAGAATGGTGAAGACATAATGAGGGACCATAGAGACTTCCTCTATAAGAGTGGCCACACCCAGTCCCCAAGTAAGGCCAAAGATGGGTGTGAGAAGGAGCAGAGCTTTGAGCACGCCCAGAAAAGCTTGCCGCTTCTCCTCCGCTGGGGGCCCCTCTGACAGTGAAGGTCTCAGCAGCTTCAGCACGACTATGGCTAGGACGATCCCATTCACACACACGATGGTCAACACTGGCCCCATAAAGGTGTACAGCGCCGCTTCATTTCCATTAATGAAGCATTTATCTTCCCGCAGGTATAGCCCTTGGGGCAGGTAGACCCCCAGGGAGACACCTACAAGCCCCAGTGGGCACAAGTAGCCAATGGTCACCATCAGGGAGAGAACTACATGCCTGGACAGATGATGGAAGACAAAAAGCAACTGGTGAGCCAACACCAGGGCCTGCGCCAACATCCAGAAAAAGGTGGCCAGGTAGAAATAATGCCACAGGAAGGTAATGGCAAAGCAAAGTGGGCTTCTGTGCTGAAGAGGAAGGAAAAGGGCTCCCATGAAGCTGGTATCTGCAATCAGCAGGCAGATCACCATGTTAAACAGGGCAGTGTGGCGCAAGAAAGCAACCCTGTTCCGTACCACCACTCTCCACACCAGCCTGTACACAGCCAGGCACATGAGCAGCGCCAGTATGGAAGCTCCCAGGCCCAACCCACTGAGCAGCTTCAGGACAGGATCTTTTGGAATAACATGTCGGGACATAAGGATGGAGAAGGCAGTGAGATGCTGGCAGATGCACTGAGTGGTGGGGGTGGTATTGGTTGCTTGTGCCTGGCACCCTTCATCTGACCAGCCTCCCTCACCCTGGAAGAGATTGTGGTCCCAGAAGACACAGTGCAGGGTGCCATTTGTGTCCCCAAAGTCCATGATGATCTCTGCATTGGTGAGGGCCTGGCCACCTGATGTGATGGACATGATGAGGACCATGCCAGGAACGGCATACGGGGAGCCCCTCAGCCCTTGTCCATAGTTTGGGGGCAAAAGGTGGGCCAGTTTTTGAAGCACCAAGCTAGTTATACTGATGTTGGTTTTGTTATGCATCAGTGAAGCCAGCGAGTGCCTGGGAATCTGTGCCTGCAGGAGAGGCGGAGTGGAGAAGGATATTTGGTAGTCACCAGGAAATGTGGGTCTGAAGAGCTGGCTGTGCAGCAGCACATTGGACGAGCTGAAGGAGAAGGGGTGATCCCATGGACACAGTCTGCGTACCAGGGCCTCCACAGCCCACAGGAAACCCGAGACCATCGGGGGATTCTGGGCCTTGGCTAGGGTCCACAGGGAGCTGATCTTCACATCTAGGACCTTGTCAGTAGTGGTCAGGAGATCCTGTGGCACCAACAAATAATTAAGTCTGATCTGCCAGAGCCCACAGCTGAGCTACAGACCCCCTCCTCTGCCCGGCCTAGTCCAGGGAAAGACCCAGGACTGGAAAGAAATTGGGACGGGAAGACAGGCCTTCCTGAAGCAGACTTTCTTGGTGGGAAGAATGGGGCACTGCTCAGCCAACCACCTGGGGCATATTCATGTATGGCATTTCCTGATCCACACTCAGACACTATGATGACCCTTCTTCTAATTCCATCCTCTGGGGTCATCCAGATCTTAAGAAGACCCCTCTTCACTACCTTGACCCTTCTAGTTCTGCAAAGCTAGGAATGGTGGCCAGTGGCAGGGGTCAATGATGTTCTGAAATCGAGAGCCATATGCATGTCTATGCAGCCACCTGTGCTGTATATTCCTAGATGTGAAGGGTGTGTGATATCCTTGTCCCTTGTTATTCTTTTGGCTGCAGCGTATGGGTCACCAACTGATGCCCCCTGCTGAGAGCTGATTCAGGGTCCAGCAAAGCCAAGTGTGTTCGAGTCTGTGTATGGGCATCATGTGTGTTACACGTGTCTGTGTGTCTATGCATATCTTTCTCCACATGTCTTCCTGCCTTCCAGCTTCCTGTGTGTTCCCATCATTAGGCTTCTTCCAACTCCACGGCCTTGGAGATGTGTGTCTAAGAGGACAGAAGGACCAGGAGCAGACACTGGACTCTAGAAAGGTCTGCTGTCAGGCTGCCCATGTGATATCAGATGGACAGAAGTGCCCACAGGTGAAGCACCTCCACCCCTTACTGGCCACTTGGTCCACTGCTGTGGCTCAGAGTTTTCACCTTCATTGCATTGTGGTCCAGCTGCATTCTGGCCTCTACCACCACTTCAGCTAGAAACATCACAGCGCTCAACAGTTCCCGTAAGTCAGAGGGTGAGCTTGCCGCCTCCACCTGCCTCGGCAGCTGTTTCAAGATCCGCGGCACCTCTTCATCAGGCCTGCCCTGGCCTGCTCGAAGCAGCTGAGACAAACAAGATGGGAAAGGGGATGACAGGAGAATCCTCACCAGGAATGGTTCACTTCTTCCTGTCCAGCTCCTTGCCCCATCCAGGGGAGCCGGAAACAGAGTTTGGAGCAAGTGGGCAGGTGGAAGGAGCTGAGGCCAGTGTTAGGGGACAGAAGCTTGATTGGACTGTGGTTTGAGATCAGCATCCCACCCATATGCAGAAGCCCCACACCTACTTCCTGGCTCTGCTAGGGCTCCAGGTGAGAAGCTGCTAAGCAGTGGACTGGCCTGGGGAAAGTGTCCTAAAACTGGGTCCTGATGGAGGGAGGGGCAGGTTGTAGGGGAGGCACGTGGGTAGCAGCTTTACCCTGGCCTCAGTAGACAAGGTCAGGATCCCTCTGTCTGTGCAGTCATTCTGGACGGGCCCCCAGACTCCACTAGGACCACAGGGCCTCTTCATCATGCCCTTCTTGTTCCTGGGGCATGGGGCCTGGGCCACGTGGCCAGCCTTGGTGACATTCCAGGCACTAACTGAGAAATCCTCAGGGCAGGTGGTGTCTCCATCTGAAGAAGGGTGACCAGAGAGGGCTCAGCAGTTGCAATCCAGCCTGAGCCTTTCCTTGGACAGAAACCCACATAGGCCTTGGTGCCTAGCCTGGTAGCCCAGGGAAGAGGAAGGTCAAGGTCAAGGAGGAGGCCATGTTCCAAGGGCAAGAAGATCAGAGGTCAGCCTGCTGGACCCAAACCCCACATACCCTGGATGATAGTGATGGTGATGGGAGTTTTGACAGGAGCCAGGTCCTGGCTCTGCAGGACACAAGTATATGTGGTGTCAGCTCCTGGGCAGTGCTGAGCGGCCAACACAAGGCACTGAGAGTCTGATATGTTGTATAAAGAGACTGAGGGAGAGAGAGATGAGAAAAGGGAGCTGTCATTGGCTGGAACAGTTCAGAACCTCATAGATGAAGCAGTGGGGGAGAGCCCAGTGTCCTGTGGTTATCAAATAACTGAGGGCAGAACTTGGGCTTTGCTGAAGGGCACTCTGGGGGTCTCTAGCTAGCTCCAGGACTCAGTTTCCAGTTTTCTCATTTGTAAAATGGGGACTATCATAAAACTAGCCTCAGAGTTTACTGCAAGAGTTAAGTGGGATTGTGTGGATGAAAACATTTTGCAAAAAGTTGTCTATACATGTGGTTGTGCTGATATCAACCAAACTGAGATTGTTCTGATGGGGTGAAACAATGTTGAACTTTGACCCCTTCTCCTACTCTGAGCCATGGCTCTCACTTCTGGTGAGTTGAAGATTGCCTAGAGGAGACCAGCCGTGTCCTCTCACCTCTCACCCTCTCCTACCTTGGCTGTCCTCCATGGGGCTCCAGGCAGCTCTGTAGGCCAGGTTTGTCATGGGGAAGCAGCAGCTCAGCTGGAAGCCAGAGGAGTTTGCGCAGGAGATGGACAGCTGGTCTGGAAATCGAGCCACTTCTGTCTCCTGCAAGGGCACTTGTACCAACTGGTGTAGCTTCCACCTGAATCCCTGGGCCTCAAAGATGCTCAGGTACTCACCTGTAGACACACACCTGCTGCACCTCAGGGCTCCCCTGGCCTGCCTGCAGCCTAGGATCTCTGCTGCTTCCCAAACCTCAGCCTAGGCCCTCCTGCTCTGTCACCTCTGCTCACCGCTCAGAATTTAACAACCCCAGTCAGAACAATCCTAGGATGGCCCTTTTGGAAGACCTTCTTTGCCCCCAAGAAAGATTTGTAGGAGGAAGAAGACATATGAAAGAGGCTCCTGACCCATCCTTCTTAGCTGGTGGCCATGAATTCTCTGGTGAGCCTCTTTCCTATAGTCCTTGCTCTCCCTATGCCCTGTCCTGACATTTAGCATCTGGACAAACACTGGTCTGCTCTCAGCTGAAGTTGAGACCATATTTTCAGCATTCTCCAGCTTATATGTTTCTTTTGTTCATGGAGATGCTTTTCTGAAAAATAACTACTGTTTTCTGAACTAGAGCATAATTAGAAGAGTTACATTGTTTGACACTTTTGCATATCTCGTTAATGTCTGGATGAAGGGAATCTGGATGCTTCTGCATTCAATTACTGTGAGATAGCTGCACCCCTGGAATATGGCACTGTCTACTCCTAACATCTTCCTATACTAGGGCAACTGCCGTGACCATGAAGCATTGAAAAGTTCCCAGAAGTCCCTAGATCATGGTGGAAATAAAGCAGCTGTTTTAAAGAATTTTCCACATTATAGTGGATCTCCTAGCCTTTGTTTCCCTAGAAAAAAATAAATGAAAAGATGTAAAGGGTAAGGAAGAATTGAAAGAGAAAGAAGGAAGGAGAAGTGGGAGGGAGAAGTTATGGGAAGCAGAAGAAAAGGGGGCAGAAGAAGAAAAGAGGAAAACAAAGGCAGATGGGGTCAGGAGGAGAGATGGGGCTGACCTGCCCAGTCGTGGGACATGTGAATGATGCTGAGCGCAGCCTGGCTCTGGCTGGAGGTCAGAGACACCTGTCTCCCTGGCTGCAGGAGGATGGGTCTGGAGTTCCTTGGTTGCTTCAAGAACCAGTTCAGTTCAGTGGCTTGCTGGCTTGTGAGGAGAGTGAGATTGAGCGTGTTGCCAGGCATCTGCAGTGGGGAGTTCAGGCTCAGGTTCCCCGGGACTGCAGGAAGGAAGAAGATGGGGGCTGGAGATGGGGCTGGAAATAGGGAGCTGGAGGAGGAGCCCTTTTTTTTTTTATTTTTTTATTTTTTTTTTTCATTTTTCTTTTATTATTCATATGTGCATACAAGGCTTGGTTTATTTCTCCCCCCTGCCCCCACCCCCTCCCTTACCACCCACTCCACCCCCTCCCGCTCCCCCCCTCAATACCCAGCAGAAACTATTTTGCCCTTATCTCTAATTTTGTTGTAGAGAGAGTATAAGCAACAATAGGAAGGAACAAGGGGTTTTGCTGGTTGAGATAAGGATAGCTATACAGGGCATTGACTCACATTGATTTCCTGTGCGTGGGTGTTACCTTCTAGGTTAATTCTTTTTGATCTAACCTTTTCTCTAGTTCCTGGTCTCCTTTTCCTATTGGCCTCAGTTGCTTTAAGGTATCTGCTTTAGTTTCTCTGCATTAAGGGCAACAAAAGCTAGCTAGTTTTTTAGGTGTCTTACCTATCCTCACCCGAGGAGGAGCCCTTTTGCAACTAAGCAGTCACTCCTTATCCAGCTTCTGAAGTCCATCCCTCCATTCTCCACACTCCCCCCACCTAGCTCTTGTTGCTGGATGAGTGTCAGAGTGTGACTGCTGTAATCTAGTCAGGAAGACCCTATCATTGGGAACCAAAGAGGGAAGCATTTTTGCTTGTGGCTTCCCCTCTCCAGGAACTCAGAGCTGGTAGAGCTGCTTCTTGGCTTCCCAGGCCAAAAAGTGGGGCCACTCTAGCACTTCCTCTCCTTGTCCCTATGCCTCTGGGGCCTCACTTATTTGTTCTCACTAATCAGGTCCCAAGCTCAGGGCCTGTCACCCGCTACAATGGCTGTGCTTGGACCAGCTGGCAGAAATGCACAGAATGTGTTTCCTGCACTGGAGGACACTAGTTTCCCAGTTCCCAACCCTCCTCACCAGGTGGCAGTAACTGGCAGTAGCCAGGGACAGGGTGCTGGAAGATGAGACAATCACAAGACTGGAGGTCAGGGTGGCAGGAAGGGTTTTGGGAGCAGAGCCTGGCATTCCACTGGTAGCCGGAGAGACAAACACAGTGGATGTAATCCGTGCCATTGTCATTGCACCCTGTGACAATGAGAAAAAGAGTAAGAAGTCTGAGAAAGCCAGGTGGCAGGACCAACAACTGCCAAAAGTGAAAGGCTTTCAGGCTGAGCATAGGCACCAATTCCAAGTCCCAGGGGCCTTGGCCATGGTCACCCATCAGAACTGCCTCTGCAGTAGGACACAGAGTGGCAGAGGTCCTGTTGGGCAGGGGCATCACGTGTGGGAGGGAGTCATCACCCATTCTGTCTGTCCCTTGGGCCCTCTGCCCAAGTTAGAAGATGGGGTATGAACAGGAAGGGAGAATTCTGTCTGGTAGGGAGGTGAGGAAAGAGCCAGGTAAGAGAAAAAGGACCAGGTACCACCCTCAGGAAAATAGGAAGGGGCTTGTAGCCACTCAGGCAAGTTGGCTGTGGGAGGGCCTGAAGCATGTGCTCCATTCCCTCTGAGCCCCCTTCCCACGGAACTGCTACCTGTAGTGAAGCTGAGGCCAGTGAGAGTTCCGTGGGAAGAGGATGCTGAAGCATGGGGGAGAGACAGGACCTCGGAGAGGGCTGGTGGCAAGGTCCTGCCTGAAAATTCCAGACGTACATAGACAGAGACCGAGACTGATTCTGTAAGAGCAGAGGAGGCAACTGGAGAGGAGTATCAGCAAGGCCCCAAGTCAGTTCCCTTTGCCTCCCATACACAGCTGTCCATTTCTAGGCAACAGGACACAGGATGACAACTCCTGCTCTAACCATGCTCTCTCAGGTACACAGCTTCTTATCATCCTTCCAGCAATCCCCACTGCTCTCAACGATGTGTGTGTTGTTCCAGGCCTCACAGCCAAAGAACTGGTTTAGGGACTTGTGTGATACATCCAGGGCCGTGCCTCTCTCTTCCCTTTTGCTGCCTCCTTCCTCGTCATTCCTTCCCACCTTCCCTGCCCCAATCTCCTCCTCCCTCCTTCCCCTGCCCATCCGCTCACCCCATTCTCCAGACCCTTGGTCCAGTTGCTGTCCAGAGTCCTCTCCAGCCTGACCCTGTTCCTGGAACAGAGCACAGGAAAGTTCCTGGGCTGACCCCAGGTTCCTCTGAGAGTCATTTAGGGGCCAACCGGGCTAGTGTGGCAGCACTTGGTCTCTTCTTTTTGCCATGAATCAAGTGCATACAGCAGGAGGGGAAAGCAGGCTTTTGGTGGGACCACAGGGGTTCCCCTGGGACACAACCCTAGGGACTCTGGTAAGGCCTGCAGTCTCACCTGGACCCAGGAACCAGGAATACCCTAGGAGTCACCATGCTTCGCTTAGTTCCTTCCTGAAGTTACCTGTCCCTGGGCCTCTAGTCTAATGGCAGTGGCTAGATCTGGAGCTCCAACAAGGAGGCTGGGGCCCAGGGGCTTGGGGACCTTATTCCCGCCACAGGAAGGTGAGCAGGAGGCAGCATGTTCTCTTAGTTTAGGATTTCCTCATTAACTCCCCTTCTCTCAAAATGTACATGTGGGTATCTCTCTAAAACCCACATATGAAGCTAAGCCAGGTGGCACATGCCTGTAGTCCCAGCACTTGAGCCATTGAGGTGAGAGGATCAGTTGGACTCAGGAGTCCAAAACTAGCCTGGGGAACACAGAGAAACCCCATCTTAAAAGTAAATCTATAAATATTCCAACTATAGGGGAGGCATAGGTAAGAGGACGGCTATCCAAGGCTGACTCCAGGCAAAAAATCAGACTTTGTCTTAAAAAAAAACTAACTTAAGGAGGTGAGGCTCAAGTGGGAGAGTACTTGCATGAAGCCCTGAGTTCAAACCCCACCAAAAAATAATTAAAAATATAAATAAGTAAGTAAAGTTAGGTGGATACATAGATGTGGAGAAGGGTAAGATGTAGGTAGAGTTAGATATAGATAAAGCTATAGATTTAGATAAAGACAGATACACATATGGATTTAGATGTAGAGCTAGACATAGATTCAGAGACAGCTATATAGATACTGATGACGTAGAAATCTTACTGGGAGAAAACATTAAAAACTACTAACCTAGGCTGTGCCACCTTTCCTCAGATTCTCTTCCATCCTCTAGGCCACTGTCTTCCAAATCTGGAAGTTTTTTTTTCCTTTTTCTTTTTAAAATTCCCAGTATGACTACCAGAGCCTTCATCCTATCATTGGAGCTCACAGAGGCTCAGATAATGAACTGAAAGCTGACTTGGGAGGCTGAGATCAGGAGGATCACAGTTCAAGTCCAGCCCAGGCAAATAGTTTGCAAGACCCTATCTCTAAAATAACCAGAGCAAAATGGACTGGAGATTTGGCTCAAGCAATACATGTAATTCATGTAAGCATGAAGCCCTGAGTTCAGTCCCACCAAAAAAAAAAAAAAAGGGACCGAAAGCTGTCCCCACACCCTGGACAGTAAGACCAATGTTTGGTTGTCCTATGAGCCAGCCCCTTGCTTCAGTCCTCTCCCTCCACCTGTCCTTTCATCCCATACCTTGTGGTCTCTTACAACCTGAGCCCCCTGTCATGCCTCTGCAGACCTTCCCAGGACCCTCCCCTAGTTGTACTTACAGGCTGGGATGTGGGGGCAACCAGTGACCCCAGCAGGGGAAAAATCATAACCACGAGCAGCTGGGGGACAGCCGGACAAACCATGGCTCAACGGAGCAAGTCCCTAAGAGCCCTCTAGCTTCTGCATGATGCAAATTTCCTTCTAAAGAGCTGGCGGCCAGTGCACAGATGGATGGGAGGGAAGAGTGGAAGGGAGCCAGGGCCAAATTTACAAAGGAAGTGTCACAGCCCGTGACTCTGAGTCAAATGGCCATCCAGGTCATTGGTGCCACCTGGAGCCCAATAGCCCCTGTGAGAGTATGTGCCCAGGTTCTCCCAAGGTCTAGACCAAGGATCCAAGGAGCAGGTAAGGACATAAGGATCCTAGGTGACAACCAGCAATGTGTCAAAAAGCCAGGTTCAGTCAGTCATTTCCCCCAGATCTGGGAGAGGTTCCAGATTCTGGAAACTCTCCAGGGCTTCAATGACCCAGGAAGCTGGATAACTGATCAAAGAGCCAAAGTTAGAAAAGATTAGAGCTGATGGCTACACTATAATAATTCCTGGAGAGACTAGACTCTTAAATGTGCAAAAGAATCAAAACTACTATAAGAAACTATCAAGTAATTTCACAAACCAGTTTTGAAGGAAAGCTTTTTAAACAACAGACAAAATGGAGAAGACAAAAAGGACATAAATTTGTCACAAAAAGAATAATTTTCTTAACAGAAAATATTTTTTATACTTTACACGTCAATAAGAGAAAATCAGCAAAGACGAGAGCAGAGTTTGCTGGAAAAGAATTCGTCTGATACATTTCTTAAAGCCCTCTGACTTCACACATAAGTGAAAATCAAAACAAGACGATACTATTTTTCACCCATCAATTATCAAATGACAAAATACTGGTGATATTTAGTTGAAATGTAGTTGTCATGGATACAAAATATGCATAGAAGGATGCCCAAGGCAGAACTGTTTGTGATAGCAAATGAGTTAAACAAACCACAATACCAGTTAAAAAGGGAGCGCTTATATAAATTTTGAGATTTCAAATCTAGGAAAGTGGGGGGAAGTGAAGTAGCCCCATTTTGGAATGGTCTCCAACAAATGTAAGGCAATTTAAACTGTATACTTTTTTTTTTGGTGGGACCTGGGTTTGAACTCAAGACTTTGAGCTTCAGAGCAGTCACTCTACCACTTGAGCTACACCTTGAGTCCATTTTACTCTGGTTGTTTTAGAGATAGGGTCTTGTGAACTATGTACCCAGGCTGGCCTCAAATCACGATCTTCCCAATCTCAGCCTCCCAAGTAGCTAGGATTACAGGCATGAGCCACCAGCCCCCACTAAACTGTATACTTTGTATTTTATGCTTCCGATGCTTGTGCTTATACATAGCTAGACTCTTTCTGGAAGAAACAAGAGAAACTTCACGATAGTATTTCTTCTGGGGAAAGGGATTAAGGAAGGACCCAGATGGATCTTTGTGCTGTTTGATGTATATTTATTTTCTTTCTTTTCTTTTCTTTTCTTTTTTTTTTGATACTGAAGCTTGAACTCAGGGTCTAAACCTTGAAGCACTCCACCAGCATTTTTTGTGAAGGATTTTTTTCAAGATAGGGTCTCACCAAATATTTACCTGGACTGGCTTTGAACCACAATCCTCCTGATCTCTGCCTCCTGAGCACCCAGCTATTTCTTTTCTTAAAAAAAAAAAAGTTGATTTAGATACACACACAAAGTATAAAGTATCAAGGGCAGAAGTGTATTCCCAATGCATTTCCACATCCACCACAACATCCAACTCCCACTTGCTAGGATTGGCTCTAAAGGGGCAGCAAACACATAAAGCCAAACACTTATGGAAGCAAATCATTGATTTCAGAAAAAGCGAATATGGTGAAAAATCAGGCTTGAAACTCAGAGAGAGAAAGTGGAATAAAAGGCACAGGTGTTGGAGTAAGATACCATCAACACAGAGGGTACTGCCTGTTGCAGTGGCAGGTGGTCTTGGATGGGACAAAGGAACGTGGGACATCAACATATCTGCTTCAGTCACCAAATGGAGTCTATCAAGGAATGAAGGAGTCTTGGGGCCATGACGGAATCAGAACAGAGAGAGGGAAAGCTGAGAGGTAGAAGAGTGGCTGCTTCATGCACAGAGAGAACTGAGCTACTCCAGCCCCCACTGAGGACATGCAAGGTCAGTCTCCTGTGGAGTGAAGGCTGGTCATCTGGACGAGTTGACACTGAAGGGACAAGTGACTCTAGAACATGAGAAAGTTAGTGGAGTTGGAAGCTGGATATGGTGGTGCACATCTGTAATCCTAGCACTAGGGAGGATAAGGCAGGAAGAGTTCAAGGCTGGCCTGGACTATGTAGTGAGACTCTATCTCAAAAACCAAATAAGGGCTGAGGATATGGCTCAAGTGGTAGAGTGTCTACCTAATAAGCACATGGCCCTGAGTTCAAATTCCAAGTGCCAACACCCCCCCCCACATACACAAAAAACCCCAAATAGCAACAACAAAAAGAAGAAAAGCCAGGCACAAAAAGAATACCAGCCAGTGGTCAAGATGAGGGCTGGTGGAGTGGCTCAAGTGGTAAAGAGTGCCTGCCTAGCAAGCGTGAGGCCTTGAGTGCAAACCCCAGTGCTGGGGGGGAGGGGGGAAGCTGATATCAATTAGGGGGAATTATGTTTTGGGTGTGGAATTCTTCAGGACTCTCTCTAATTCCAACCACATCGACTTTCTTTTCATTTTTCCTCCTCTTCTTTTTTTTGGTGGGAATGGGGTTTGAACTCAGGGCTTCTCACTTGCAAAGCAGGATTCCACCCCCAAAACATAATTTTCCCTAATTGATACCAGTTCATTTTAACCATGTGAGTTCATGACCAGAAGAGAAAATAACAGGAAGGGCCACATATTCCTAGTTCTGTTAAAGCCGAAATGTCCAATGTGTACAAAACTAGTGATAGGACTGAGAAAACAAGGCTGTGATTTCAAGTTTTAGACTGCTTCTATAATTTTAGATGTTTAAAGCTTTTTTTTCCGTGTTAGGACTCAAACCCAGGACCACACTCATACTAGGCAAGTGCTCTACCACTGAGCTACATGCTCAGGCCCTGAAGCATCGTTCGTATGTACAAAAATGCCTAGAAAAAGACTGGAAGGAAATGTTACGGGTTGTCCAATGTGTTTCTTCCGTTCAAACCCAGAGCCTAGCATCAGGCACTGGAGGCTCTAAGTAATAGTTTTTATTAAATGAATCAATCAATAAATGAAATACTTACACCAAGATATTAACAATGACTGTAACCAAATGGTAGGATTTGGTTTGATTTTGTTTGTCAACTTTGTATTCTATAATGAAAAAAAATCTAATGAAAAACATCACATCTTACAGTGTCAACTGCTTCCTTATGGTCCAGTCAAGTTCAGAGTCCTCTAGGTTTGTTCTAGTGTCACAGGTTGTCAAGAGTCACTCACAAGCTAATCAGGTCTTAGGCGTCAGGTAGCATTCAGACCAAGAGGCACTTATTGCTGCTGCCTACTGACCTCGCTGCAAGGTCAGTCATAAGGCCTTTGTTGGTCTTTGTTCTTCTACACATGCAAGAACGTTTTGGAATTAGTCAGTTTTTACCCTCGGGTAACTTTTCTGAGCTCCTAGGTCCCCTGACCATATCTGCACATAGATTGTAAAGGTAATCTGTGCTTACACTAGAAAGCAGACCCCTGTTTTTATAGTAGGTGACTGCCAGAGATTGCCACTTGTTCATTACTCATTTGAACCAGATGTTGGCTCATGGTGTATTTGCCTAAATAACATTTGGGTACAGAGGTCATGAGAGTTACTGTGGCCTATAGGATTTCTGCTGGTTGCTATCAAGTCTTGGTCAGCAGCAGGGCATGTCATGGAAAGTGTGTTCATCAGTTTTCTGTCTCTGGGACAAAATAATCAACTTACAAGGAGGAAGGTAATCATTGGTCCATTGATTTGGGTCTGTGGCAAGGCAGAACATCAAGGTGAGAAATGTGTGGTGGAGCAAAGCTACTCACCTCAAAGCAGTAAGGAAGGAGAGAGAGAGAAGGGGGGGGGGGGCAGCGAGGGGGCTTGTCTTAGTATTCAGTATTCCATGAGCATGGTCTCTCAGTGACCTTACTACCTCACCTTCCACTAGGCCCCACGTCCTAATGGTTGCACCATCTCCCAATAGCACCACAGGCTAAGGACCCAGCTGTTAGCATGTGACCTTTGGTGGACATTTCAGATCCAAGCCCTAACAGCAAGTGTGTGGAAAGGACGGAATATACAGTGGTAGGTCCTGTGGGAAGCTTTGATGCAGGACACATTGAGTAGTAGGTGATCAGCTGGTCCTTGGCTGAGGCTGAAAGCTCTAATGCAGAAGGTATTTGTTCACAACTGTTTGAGGCCATACGATTAACAAAATCCCAGGTGCATTTTACACATCTTCACAGAATAAAAAGGTATTTCTGATATCAAAATTTTGTGAGAAGTGGGATAAAGTGACTCGGAGTAGTGAGAGTTTCAGATTGAAGCATCTAATTCTGGATTCTGGAATGAGAGTTCATGTTAGCTGGCTGGGATAGTACAGAAACCCCTGCTCCAGGTACAACTTACAGAGAAATCAAAGAAATTCCTGAAGTTTCTAGTGCTTTCTTCAATCCCTACAAGATATGGGGACTTCTTAGAAATTTTATGCTGATCTTTTATGTGAATAAATGTATGGAGAAGATGGGGACACTATCGTGGAGAATTATTTACTCCAAAGATAAAATAATTTCACACCCTGTAAGCCAGGGCTTGCCTGATTTTAATGTATAATTCAGGTTTACAAACTTATAAAATTAAATATACATTAGGAACCACTCCTGATCTATTTAAGCTCAGCTACAGTTTTTTTTTTTTTTTTTAATTTGGAGGTATAGCTGGCCTTTCCACGCATGAAATGAAACCCTGAAGCCACATAGGCAAAGATGACTGATTTGAATATGAAAAAGTTGAGATGTATTATGCAAATCACAGGAGGCTCCAAAGGCGGTGATATTACTCCATGAAAGGACACTTTTCTCTGAGTCGGCAGGTTTGGGAAAGGAGTCATTAATAGAAAAGCAGACACATGAGCAATCAGCTGGAGATCAAAATCATCTTTATTACTGGAAAAACTGAGTGAGAGAAGGTGGCTTGCCTCTGAGCCAGACACATTTCCCAGTACTGAATTTACTTACCCTGTCACCAGCACAGGGGGGCCCTGCCAGGCCTCCCAGGAAAAGGGCCTGAGAAAAAGTGTGTAAAATTGGTCACTCCAAAAAGGCAGCTCCCAGAGCTCATTCTCCAAGTCTTGCCAATCAGATAATTCATTTTTCGCTTGGGGAAGAGGAAGAGGACACAGAGAGGAGATCCTTCTGGGGACTGGGAGTTCCCTCGCCTCAGTGAAAGAGTAAGCATTTCTTGCCAACACCATGCAGTACCGAGTATAACACACTTTATTTCAATATTTTAGTGAGGAGGGAAAACTGAAAACCTTCAATTAACTAATGGCAAAATATATAAATAGGTTAATTTCGCCAGGTGCCATTGGCTCATGCCTATAATTCTAGCAACTCGGGAGGCAGAGAGCAGGAGGATTGCAGTTCGAAGCCAGCCTGGCAAATAAGTTCACGAGACCCTATCTCAAAAATACCTAACACAAAAAGGGCTGGTGGAGTGGCTCAAGGTGTAGTCCCTGAGTTCAAACCCCAGTACTGCAAAAAAAAAAAAAAAAAAAGGTTAATTTCATAAAGTCAGTAAACATGGAAAATACTTTTGAATAGTTTGTTAGAAGCCTTAAAGAACTGTGTGTCAAGGACAAAGTACAATGCTGGAAATTATTATTTGTCCTTGTGTTCCACTTATTTCCTGACTCAGTTCTTAGAATCAGCCCTCCACTCATAGCCATAGGTCTCCCACGAGAGCAGCCATTGTGTACGAGGTTTCACTGACTACAGTACAGGCCATGGATACACGTGTAACACCAAGTAGGGTAATTGTAGATCTGGTGTGCGGCTGTAACAGAATACACCAGCTGGGTGATTTATAACAAACACAAATAAAGTTATTTGGCTCACTTTTCTGGAAGGTGAGAAGTTCAATGTCCGGGGGTTACCTCTTGTGAAGGCCTTCTTGCTGTGCTGTAGCATGGTGGAAGGCATCCCACGATGAGAGTACTCTAAGGGTGTCAAACAACCTTTTGTCAGGAGCCCAGGCCTGCAGTAACCAACTCACTCCTTCAGTGACAACATTAATCCATTCGGGTGCCTGGATCACCTCTCAAAACTATCACATGGGGGATTTAGCTCCCAGTACATGATCTTTCGGGGGGTGGAGGATACATTCAAGCCATAGCAGATTCTACTTTCGTCCCATTAGTTCCCTTTTTCTTGAATTAGTTAGGGAAAGATTCTGATATTTACAGCTAAAAAAATACCTGCCTATACATGCTCAGAAAAGCCAAGGAGGCTGTGTAGAGAAGTGGCTGTTATCTTAAAATATTGGATTTAGTGAGACTTAGGATTCAAGGCATTCACTTATCTTTTGACACCTCAGTTTTCTTTATCAATAAAGTGAAGGAGTTTAATTATATGATCTTTGCAGAATTTTTTTTTTTTAAGTTTTCTAAGCAGGGGGCTGGTGGCTCACGCCTGTAATCCTAGTTACTCCTGAGGCAGAGATCAGGAAGATCGAGGTTTGAAGCCAGCCTGGGCAAATAGTCCTCGAGACCATATCTTGAGTGGCTCAAGGTGAATGCTCTGAGTTCAAGCCCCAGTACCACAAAAAAAAAAAAAAAAGTGTTGTCTTTCCTGGTTTCTTACAAAATATCCACAGCCATTTGACTTCTATTCCTCTATAAGTAATATATCATTTTATTTGCCTGCTTTCATGATTGTTTTTCTTTATCTTTAGTTTTGTTTTTATTATTATAATTTTTATTAGGATATAGTCATTATACATGGGGGGATTTGTAGTGACGATTCTGATTAGACTTATATTGTATATTAGTTACATTGCCCCCATCTTCTCTCCCCCTCAGCTCCCTCCCCATCCTATCTTTAGTTTTTTGTAGTTACAATATGTCTAGCCTTGGACTTAACCTTGTTTTGGATTCATTGAGCTTTTTACATCCGTAGATTTATGTATTTCATCAAACTTGGGCATTTAGGCCATTGTTTCTTCAAATATTTGAAGAAATATTATCTCTTCAAATAAATATGGCCTTCATTTAGGTCATTATTTCTTCAAACATACTTCTTCAAGTATTTCTTCTTCTTCTTCTTAACTTTAATGACACAAATGTTAGGCCTTTTTAGCATTTTTCTCATAGACCACAATGGCTCAGTTCAGTTTTTAAATATTTTTCCTCTCCGTTGTTCAGATTGGGTCATTTCTTCTTTCTTTCTTTTCTTTTTGATTCTATTGGCGTTTTAATTCAGGGCCTTGAGTTTGCTAGGCAGATGCCCTACCACTTAAGCCACACCACTAACCCCCCCACCCCTTTTTTTTTCTTCTATTGTTACTTTTCAGGTAGAGTCTGTATTTTTGCCTGGGGCTGGGCTTAGACAGTGATCTTCCTGCCCACAGCCTCCTTCATGGCTGGGATCACAGGCATGCACCACAACACTCAGTTTAGCTCACTAACTTGACTTTTTGCCTGGGCTGCACATCGGATCATTTCTAGTGATCTAGCTGTAAGTTGGTTGATTTTTTTTTCCTTTCTCATCTCAATTCTGCTACTGAGCCTATGATAGACAGAAAATGACCACCTGAAGACATCCACATATGAATTCCTAGAACTGGTGAATACGTAAAACTTACATGGCAAAAGGGATTTTGCAGGTGTGATTAAGTTAAGAGTCTTGTGATATGGTGATGACTCTGAGTTATCTGGTTGGACCCAATGTAATCACAAAGTTCCTTGTAAGAAAATGTGAGACAATGGAATTTTATGCAGCCATGAAGAAGAACGAAATGTTATCATTCGCTGGTAAATGGATGGAATTGGAGAACATCATTCTGAGTGAGGTTAGCCTGCCCAAAAGACCAAAAATCGTATGTTCTCCCTCATATGTGGACATTAGATCAAGGGCAAACACAACAAGGGGATTGGACTTTGATCACATGATAAAAGCGAGAGCACACAAGGGAGGGGTGAGGATAGGTAAGACACCTAAAAAATTAGCTAGCATTTGTTGCCCTTAACACAGAGAAACTAAAGCAGATACCTTAAAAGCAACTGAGGCCAATAGGAAAAGGGAAACAGGAACTAGAGAAAAGGTTAGATCAAAAAGAATTAACCTAGAAGGTAACACCCACGCACAGGAAATCAATGTGAGTCAATGCCCTGTATAGCTATCCTTATCTCAACCAGCAAAAACCCTTGTTCCTTCCTATTGTTGCTTATACTCTCTACAACAAAATTAGAGATAAGGGCAAAATAGTTTCTGCTGGTATTGAGGGGGTGGGGGGGAGAGGGAGGGGGCGGAGTGGGTGGTAAGGGAGGGGGTGGGGGCAGGGGGGAGAAATGACCCAAGCCTTGTATGCACATATGAATAATAATATAATAATAATAATAAAAAAAGAAAATGTGAGAATGTGAGAGACAAAAATGCAGAGGCTAGAGTGATGCACTTTGAAGACAGAGGAAAGGGCCATGAGCCAAAGAATGCAGTCAGCTTCTAGAAGCTGGAAAGGAAAACAAAATGTATTCTTCCCTGGCATTTCCAGAAGTGCAGACCTGCTGACAGCTTTGTTGTAACCCTGTTCATTTCGAACATCTAGCCCTAAGATGTTACATTTAAAGTCACTACGCTTATAGTGATTTGTTACAGCATTAATAAGAGTAATTTAATGCAGAGATCTTGCAATAAATTTAAACATTTGTGTTTAAAATTTTTTCAGTTTCAAAATTCCATTTAGTTTATGTTTTCTGTTTCTTCTTTTTTGTTTGTTTTCTGTTTATTCACGGAGACTTTTATTTTCATTCAAGAGTGTTCATTCTTATTTATGGCACTTTTACAATAGCGTCCTTATAAGATGTTACATTTAAATCACTACGCTTATAGTGATTGTTACAGCATTAATAGAGTAATTTAATGCAGAGATCTTGCAATAAATTTTAAACATTTGTGTTTAAAATTTTTTCAGTTTCAAAATTCCATTTAGTTTATGTTTTCTGTTTCTTCTTTTTTGTTTGTTTTCTGTTTATTCACGGAGACTTTTATTTTCATTCAAGAGTGTTCATTCTTATTTATGGTACTTTTACAATAGCGTCCTTAACGTCTTTTTCAGATAATCTCAACATCTGTGTCATTTTAGCACTGGTAACTGTTGATGGCTTTTACCATGTGAGTCAGATTTGGGGCTGTGTCTGGACATTTTGAATACTACGTTAATGAAAACTTCTGG